TATTAAATAAGTTATAATTTTAGTTCATTAATGAAAAGAAAAGAACAGTTTCTTTTTTTTTGTAATATAATTATTCAAATTTTCTTTTATTCTTCAAATCTTTTGGGCTTTATCCGAGCGAGAAGTTAAGATTTGCTAATTCCCAGTAGATCTTCTTGATTTGTTGATTTCATAGCTGTCATTGAAGTTATTTGTCACTATTTCAGGAAATTATCAAAGAAGTTTTATGTTTTTTTCCCTATGATTACAAATTTTCATGGATTGATCAACAGTCTTGATTCATATTTATGATAATTTATTTTTAAATACAATCAGTGATTCCGATAATAATAGAATTATTATAAAAAACTACATTACAGTATGTCTTTAGTTCGTCTATATGAAAACGGAAAGTTTTTTTTTTCTTGCTATGAATGATAATATCTTCTGAATGCATTCATCGGTATATATATATATATCTTGTCAAGTTCGTTTCCGGAAAGAAAATTATCACTATTATAATCTAATCGTTGATTTATCAATGACATTATTTATTGCTCGAAGAAAAATTCTAACTATCATTAAGTTGATATATGATTACAAAATAATTCTGATTAATAGATAATGAAACAACGTTAGTAATTCTTGTCATATTTTTAAAAAGAATTTCTTTTATATAGACGAAATTCCAATAGTGGCTAATCTTTGTTTTATAATAGACAAAGCCTGCAGCGGACTCCAACTGCGACGGAGTCGAGAAAAAAATAGAGAGAAATTCTCATTAACAAGTAGCATAAAAAGGAGTACATAGTAATTCTAAAAATTGATCATATAGATTTAATTTTCATTCTTTTCCCGTAATAATAAATCAGATAAAGAATTCAAACAGCGATTCGAATAGAGAAAATTGTTTCCAACAAACATTGAATCTGAAAATAAAAGTTTCTTTTGATTATATAGAGCAACTGATGCTCTACAAAATTTTTTGACGGAAATACATTAATATTAAGCAATACTCAAAAATAGTTATTTCGCCATTTCCTGAGGGAAAACTGAACAAAAAGCACTTTTGGGCTTCTCTTGAAATTTATCGAATTCAGTCAAAAAATGTCGTGAACAGCTCGGAGACGTGTCATTTTGTATAGAATTAGCTATCCTATCGCTTCGTATAATCAAAAGAAGCTTGTATTTTGGGAATGTTGTATGGCAGTCAAAAATATTTGATTCCGAAGGACTCTTATAATAAATGATACAGAATATAAATGATCAATATCGATAAAAAAAAGAACACTTTCGAAATACTTGAATAAATATTTCATTACGGAAATAATAGATGTTAAATTTAATATGGCTTTTTTTAATTTTTTTTTAGCCAATTGTGGTGTATTTGGTCGAAAACGTAAAGCAATGAAAGATAAATATTTAGCAAAACATAATGCTGTATTTGATCAACTTGATTTGGTTACATATGAAGAAGTTATTCGATTACCTGAATTTCGTCGAAAAACACTTGTTTTACTTGGTAAATAATTACAGTATGATTTGTTGCTTTGAAGTTGCAATACACTCACCAAAACTTATCGTGTGATACCTAGATGACCATCACGTTTGGAAATCTGCCGCTGTACGAAATTAGTACAATTTGAGTGAACTCATCAGATTCACCAAGAGTCGGACTGTTAGTCTTGTAGACATTCAAATTCGGTACAAATTCATGCAATTTTACAATGTTCCTAAAAAAGAAGCTGCTGCGATAGTATTTTTGAAATATTTCCCATGCCGCCATGGACATCTCTAGTGTGATGTGTTATGTGAAGCAAATTGATTGTTAGGTCATTTTCTTTTTTGATGAACCAACAATCGATCCACAAAATAACCTTGACATACTCCAAAGCTTCTTTTACCTGCTTTTATAGAAAAAGAAAAGTATATCACTAAAAAAGTGATTTTCTAGTAACATACATTATCAGTATGTTTCTCGAAGACAGTTCGCTTCTGGCTAACCGATAAGTTTGATTAACAGTAGTTTAGAAAAAATGAACCAACCTCACGAACTTTATAGTCACTAGACTAAATCCCATTGGATTTCTTTTTATCGGAATCATTAAAAACAAAGCATTGCATTATGTCTTTATACATAAAGGAAAAAAAAGGCTAATTTTTTTGTATTTCCATTCGAGATGATAGTTATGAAGTTATTCATATAAATAAAAATTCAGTTATGAATCTACCACTTAAAAAAGCTAATTTTTTTTTCATCTAGGTGCACATGGTGTTGGTCGTCGTCATATAAAAAATACATTAATAACAAGTCAACCAAAATATTTTGCTTATCCAATTCCACGTAAATATTTCATTTTATTTTCTTCTTCTTCTTCTTCTTCTTAATGTAATAAATCATTTCTATATTTTTAAGATACAACACGATTACCAAAAAAAGAAGAAGAAAATGGTAAAAATTATTATTTTGTAACACATGAAGAAATGATGCGTGATATAGCTAATAATGAATATCTTGAATATGGTACACATGATGATGCTATGTATGGAACAAAACTTGAAACAATACGTAACATTAATCGACAAGGTCTTATGGCTATACTTGATGTTGAACCACAAGCATTAAAAGTTTTACGTACAGCTGAATTTGCGCCATATGTTGTTTTTATTGCTGCACCAGATCTTTCACAAATTAAAGGTGTTAATGTAAGTCTTTTTTTCGATATGTTAAAATTGAAATTTTTCTTTTTTTTTTAATAGGATGATAGTTTAGAAAGATTAGTAAAAGAAAGTGAACTTCTTCAACAAGCTTATGGACATTATTTTGATCTTGTTATTGTTAATAATGATATTGAAGAAACAATACGAACAGTAAGTTTTGATAATTCATTTTCTTTGATTTTTTTTTCTTTTGCCTATTATTAGTTACAACATGCTATTGAACGAGTCAGTCTACAACCTCAATGGGTACCTGTTAGTTGGGTGTATTAATTTAGAATGTAATACACATGATAATCCGTATCTAATCTCATTCTTTTTGTTTTTTTGTTTCGTTGTTTTTTTTGTTTCATGTCAAATGCAATATATGTGAATTGCAAAAAGCCTAGTCGACAGTATTCTTATAATTATTTTTCATTTTCTCTAATGATCTGATATTGTTCTTCCGAGACGAATTGTTTTACTTATGCCTTTTGTTTTCTTGTGTTTGTAAATAGACATATATCTGTGTTTTTTTTGTTGCTGTTGTCGGTATTCTCGTATATATATATATATATATATATATACATAAATTGTCGAAATATTGAATATGGGCCATATCATTTTATTTCTATTATGTGTATTTCACATATGATTGTATTTTCTGTTTTTAAATAACATGAATACGAGCGATAAGTAATACTATAGATGCGAAGAGCATAAGAATATAATAAAATACTATTCTATTCGTAATTGCAGTATTCTTATTTTATATTTTATGTTGTTTTTATAAATTTGCCCACTTGTTATTATTTGTACACCAACTCTATACAGCAATACATTTTGTTGGTAAAGTGCGTTTTTTTTTTGTTTTGTTCATATATCTTAAACAGCAAATGTGTGTATTTTTAACCTTGTATAATTGTCAGTTTTCTTTTTGTTCCTATTTGTATATAATACTAATCAAAAATAAAAAGTAATAAAATATTATTCAATATTGTATTTCGACTTATAAAAATTTTAGATGCCGTCCATACCTTCGATATTAATTATTGGTGTTAATCCTATTGTTAAAATTGTTGTACCACTTTTACGTGCTTTTGGTTTTCAAATAGTTCATTTATGGTCACCACGTCGATTAACATCTGATTTAATTTCATTATGTAAAGATACATTAAATATTGATTCATATTCTTGTTCATTAACATCACTTGATCAATTGTTAAATAATGCAACACAACCATATCTTATTTTTATTTGTACAGAAACTGATCAACATTTACCACTTATGAAACGTATAATAAGTACACCAACTATAAAACCATGTAATCATCATGTTATTTGTATGCCACCATTTAATGTTGATCCAAAATCAATTTTATCAATACAACAAATTCAACAACAATTATGTTGTTATTGTTATCCAATTGGATTTTTACCAACATTTATTAAACTTAAACGTTATCTTTATGATGAACAAACAAATATAGGTAGAAATAAATTTTATTTGAAGAAAAATTCTTCTTCTTTTTTCTTTTTTTAAGGTGATATTCAATCTATTGAACTTCGTATTCGTTGTTGTTCATTAAAATCATGTTCGGATGATCGAATAAATAGTAGTCTTCTTAATCGATTTGGTTCATTTGCACTTTTTATACTTTTTTATTTATTTGGTACACAATATTTATCAACAATAAGTCATGCTTATATTCAATCACCAAATGAAACAACATGTTCATTTCATATAAATTATAATCGTTCAATACGTTTACCACCTATATTTGTTAATATAATATCAAATTCACATATATCATCAACATATAATCAAGAATTAATAATAATAGCATCAAAATGTGCACTTATTGTTAATGATTATCGTTTAATATTACGTCGTTTTAATATTGATGATCAAATATTAATTGATTCATTTCATTCAGATACAAGTGAAAAATTTTCACAATTTTCCTATGAAAATCCTGAAATACCATTAATATTTATTCAATCATTTTATTATTTTATTGGACATTTAAAAGAATCATTAATAAATCAAATACCTCGATCAACATTTACAGAACTTACATCTTTTGAAATTGTTTGTAAAGTACAAGAAGCAATTGTTGCTATTCGTGAAGCAGCACGAACCGGTGAAATTGTGCCGATTGTCAGATGAAATTTTATTTGATTATTTTTTCCTATGAACAAACAAAAAGAAAAATAGAAACAATGAATTAAGAACAAAAAGTGTTTTTTCTTTTTCTTTTCTAAAATTATGTCTAAATAGAATGAACAGTTTGATTTACTTTTTTGTATTTATTAATGATAGTTTTAGACGAGAAATAAAATATGCAATGTCAAGTTTGTTATGAAAATAAAAATATTTCTTATAAATGTTCGAAATGTAGAATTAAATAGTAAGTATAATGAAAGTTATATTTTTGTTGTTAATAATTATTATTTTTTCAGTTGTTCAGTTGCATGTTTTCAGAAACATAAATCATCGGGTAATAAAAATTTATCGAATAAATATTTCATAATATAATTAATTTAAATAGAAACATGTTTTGAAAAAACTTTTGAATCAAAATCAACAGTAGAAGGTGAGCAAAATATATATGATAATTGAAGATGATTTCAAAAACAACAAGAAATCTAATTAATTGATATTAGTTATTATGAGAATGTAATGAGATTGCTTTTGAATCTTACAAATAAATTTTCTGAAGTATTCAATCCTTTTTTGTGTTAGAGTTATATGCAGCAATAAGTTATGAATGTTTGTAAAGAGTTCGAAGCTTTAGCTTATTGTAGGTTTTTTTAGTAGAATGATGTGGCCTTTCTCAGGAATAAAATTTTAAATTTTGACTTAACATTACACAGATAAAGATTTGGACGGGAATAGTTTATTTAAAAAGTTTTCAGATCTTTTGTTTGTTCCTATTCTGTAACATTTGCCGACATATATAGAAAGTATGCTATTTTCTATAGTTGTAGCTGAGGATTGAAAAAAAGAAACTATCAAAAGATCTGTAACTTTCACAACTAATTATTTCGACTGAGATTTATCTCTGTGTAGAATTTCTAAACTCAATTATGCTGGTATTTTTGAAAGGAGAATAAGCCATTCTGAAAAAAAAAACATCGCATATATCCAATACATCAGTAATAATAAACGTAAGAGCCTGAACTCTCTATGGAGCACTCATAGTTCATTAGAGCCGACATATGATCGACATCGTTCTGATTCAAAAGTGATTGAGCACTTAGAGAGAATTCCGTCGTTAGTAGTTGCATCTCTTATTTTTTATATTTAGCTCCAATAACACAAACTCAATTACCGATTGAACTTGGCGACGATGAAGAGAGTGATCGTCTTCCAACAAACATACTCGAACGAATTGGTTAGATTTTTAGTTATGAATATTTTTAGAATATATTTGGTTCGAATGTATGTCAAATTCTAGATCAATCAAATGAAGTACTTGAACTATTAAAGAATCGTCATTTACGAACAATGATCAAAGCATTAGATCGTTCGATAAATCCAGCTGATGACCTGCAAAAAGCCATGATGGAACCTATTTTTGTTCAATTTGTTGATCAATTGTTAATGATTGTTGAAAATAAAGATAGATGATAGAAATGAAATAAAATCTTGCCATGTTCTTAATAAAGTCTCATCATCAAATATGTTACAGAAATTAATTGATATTAAAATCTTTTTTTTTTTCGACTTTCGTCGAAATAAACTATCATCATATATGCATTTAAATATGAATATAAATATAAATTAATTATACCATGGACGATGCACATTCTAATGTAGGATTACGAAAGTTTTTGTCTAGACGATTAATCTAACGTTCATCAATCATTTTTTTTTGTTCAATTAATCTGAGACAAAGAGAATGTTTTGATAGATTAGATTTAATTTTATACTCAACATGATGTATATTTTATAAATTCTGACGACTGATGATCCTATGAGAGATTCATGTCTGAACCTTGTTTTGACTAATAGCTAATATGATTTTAACAGAACATGGTAATCTATGTCAGTTCTGTTGGAAAGAATAGCTGTCTAATTCCACTTGTAAACTTTGCATTGAAAAAGGTCGATGAGTACAATTTTGCGAAAAAATTTTCAGTTGAAATGTAAAGGTCAGCTATATCATGTACGTAACTAAATTCACAGTGTAGGATCAAAAAGTTCGACGAGTAAGTCTATACCTTATCAGAAACATATAGACACGATCGTTTTTCTTTTAGTCGAATATTCATAAATCATTGAGGCTAATAATAATTTCTGTATTTGTAACATCAAAGCAATGTTATTATAAATTTTTCATTGTGTTATTATTATTCTTTTATGTTTTCATGATAGAATAAATATCTAATTCTGTTTGTATATGTATTTTCTTTTTTATATAAAAAGAATTTCTCTGTTATTTAATATATTTATTTTAAGTATACTAGTTTTGATTCGTTATTGGCAATGTCCTTCAATTATAAATAACATTTTTCTCCTAAAGAAGTCATAAAAAGAAACCTAAATCAAATGATCGTTTACTAAAAGATATAACAATAAATTTCACAATCTTTTTTTTTTTTTTGTAATTTTATTTTCCTCTTACGCCTACTCAATCCTAGCAGGTTATTTTAGTTCTATTTTTATCGAAGAATATTCTACAGAGAAAAAGTGATGTTAGAAAGTCTTTTTTTTTCTCTCTCTTGTTTTTGCTTTCTACGATAGCATCACAAGATGAAAAGGTAATTGGAGACGACAACACTGAGTACCATATTCGCTCGATAATAGAAGAATAAAGAATGAACATTATAATGATTCTATAGATCACTTTGAATTTTCTCTCAATACTTTATACACTATGCCATTGTCCATTGAAAATTCTTCTAATATAGAAACATCGATTGCTATAGAATTATGCCAATATCATCCATATTATTTACTTGGCGAGACTATTTGGAGAATAGGTGCACTCTTATGTGTTTTATTAGGTATGCCTGGTCATGTAATTGTTGTTATTATTATGCTCAATTCAAGAAATCGAAGACAACCTGTTTGTCTATATTTTGCAACAATTGCTATTTTTGAATTTATTTATCTCATAAGTATGTTGAAAAGAATCTATTTTTATCAAACTATTTTTAGCTATTATTCATGTCAAAATTTTTATAAGACATCGGATGTTTCTTTTATGTCAATTATCTTTCTCATCAAAATATTTGCTGTTTTTTTATCAAAAGAAAATGTCTACTGTGAAATAAAACGCTAGTACATTACATGAATAAATAGCTAGACTTTCTTTTAGTACACACTTATAAAAAAAAGAAAAGATCAGTGGAAATCAATAAAATATTTAAGAACTACACGATATCGTTTTTATTTGAGTCTAGACAAGTCTTACTAGATAAAAAGCGTCTCATTCTAACAATTTATAAATAGTTGAAAATTAGTGATGTTATAATATTGTCTATGGAGTAAAATAGTACTTTTTCTTTCTCTGAATTTTGATCTCCGAATCAGTTACAAATTGAAAATAAGTAGTGGTAGAGAATGAAATATTCTATGGAATTCTATAAAAATACTTATATATAATAATTTTTTTTAATTAATTTTTAGTTGTTTTCTGGTTATGGTGTGCCTCATTATCATTAGTTCGTGATCCTCGTGCTGTTTTAACATGTGGAGTCTATTATAGTTTAACAATTGGTTCATCAAATGTTTCAACACTATTACTTGCAGCTGCATCTATTGATCGTCTTCTTATTGTTGTTTATCCTAGTCGTTATTCAATATTTGTAACACGAACAAAAGCATTAGTTAAAATCATATTCATTATAATATTTGTTTTTATTCTTATAATTCAATATCATTTTTCATTTTATTATTCTTATTTATATAATATTTGTGAATATTATTCATATGCACAATTATGGCATGGAAAAATTTGGCCACTTATACGTCTTGCTCTATTAGCATTTGTTCCATGTCTAATTATATGTATTTGTTCGTTTGTTATATTAAAAAATCGTTATTATCGTCGTCCATCAGCAACAAGTGAAACAACAGGTACAAGACATATGCGTACAGCTTCACTTTTACTTGTAATATATTCAATATATTATACAATAAGTGTAATGCCATTAAATATTCTTCAATTTTTTCATTCATATTTTTTTAATGATGATACAGCAGGAAAAACAACAGAAATAAATTGTTTAAAATTTTCACAATGGAAAATGTTAATGAAATTTTGTATGCTTTTAATGGCAATTAATTATTCAAATAAATTTATTGTTCATTATCTTGTATCAATGCAATTTCGTCGATATGTTTGGAATTTATTTAGAAAAATAACTTCAATTCCAGAAAGAAATAATAAACGTACGAGAAGTATTGAAGGTAGTTCTTATCTTTAAGTCCATGTAACCTATACATTGTAGTTATAATAAATAAATTACAATAAAAAAAAATATTCTTATTTGTTATATGTTATTTATTGCCAATCAAAGTTGATATATCAACTAAGACATAATCGTATCTTATAGAATATCGAAAACAAGTGATTTTGTCAAAGTAGAAAAATCTCATCATATTTGATGAAGCTGACAAAATCGATTAACCATTTATGAATGTGATTGATAATAGGAATCTGTGTTACTTACGACAGAACTACTAAAATAGACACTTATCGTTTCGGCTTATTTTAGACCCACAAGCACGTCTTAGGAAGACGAGCAAAAGTCTCAACGGGTTTGTCCTAATGGACTTTTAGCGCCGAGTTATAATCGGTTGATTCATTTTTATATCCTGAAAGGTTCAGCTGAAAAGAATATTTCTTCGTGAAGTTATTAAATTTTCAAGTGTACTCGATTTTTGTGACATGTTTATCATAAAGTGCTATTTTTGAAAATTTCTTTTCAGTCGAAACATTCAGGACATTATAAAAGTCATTAAGTCTATCTATAGACAAAAATTCTAGATTGAAACTTTGGAATTTAATTTTTCGAAAATTGCTTCTAAATGAATTCGAAAATTCAGTAAACTGGTGATATCTTTGTGTAAAAATCCATAGGGACGAACCATTTTAAACTTTTGCTAGTCGTATCGAGATCTCCTTCTGAGCCCCATGTGAGTTCAAACAGTGTATTTCAGTTGGAGTAGTTCCATCGTTAGCAATGTTTTAGCTATAGACATTCAATTTGAAATTGTTAAGAAAGGAACCACATGAATAGTGTCCTTTTTCTAGTATTGCAACATATCATTCTTAAAAAAAAAACAAAGAACTCTTTCATTTCACGATTCTTCATATTACGAATACCTGCATATGATCGTCTTAGAAATCTTGTCTCTTCAAACACGAATGATTCTAACATTCTCAATTTGTGTATCTTATTTTTTTTCTACAAAAGACTAAATAAATAACCAATATAAATATATTCATCTCTTATATGATTGTTGAACAGCAACTAATCAATGGTATTTTGTATGAATTACTGAAAAAACCTTGTTTATTCATTTTCTAATAGGTTTTAAAATGAAGTACACATTTCATAATCATTTCATTTTATAATTAATCATATCTCATTATTTTATGAGTTATATGTTAATATGAATATTTATTAAATATATTGCCATTGTCATTTATCAATATACATAATTTGAAGAAAGGAAAGCAAAAGAAAAATGAAGCAAGAAGGTCAAACAATTGAACGAATCGTTCAGGTAAAGATTGAAGTGTTTGATCGATGATAGAGTATGTATGAATAAATGAGTCATCGTGTGAATATTGTATTGAGACATTTAGCATATATATATAGGGATATATATTGCACAACATATTACTATGACCGATTCAACGATTAAATCAAGCGCGGTCAATATTGTTCAGTCGATTGATGCAATAATACAGGTATATGTTCATTTTCATATTTTAGTAATCAGAAGAAAGATGTATACAATACTCTTTATCATTTTTACTATTTTTATACAAGTTAACAAAGTCTTATGTGCATCAGAATTCGGTAAAACAAATGAAATTATTTTGTTTTAATCTTCTTTTTTTTTTGTCTTTACTTTATATTGTTTCTGTATATTTTAATCATTAGGAAGTGTTTTTCCAATTCCATTGACTATATTAAATGATGATCCAAATTTTCGACAATGTCCAGATAAAAGTGGAACATATGCACATACAACTAATTGTTCACTTTTTCATGTGTGTATGTTTGGTATTCATACAATTTATTCATGTATTGATGGTTTCTTTTTTAATCCAACTAATGGTAAATGTCAATATTGGCCAATTGTAAGAAATTCTTTTAATAATTCAATAATGTGTATATTATTCTTTTTAAAACAATAGGAAAAAGAAATTAAATGTGCTGAAATTCTTAAAACAATGCAACATACTGATCCTTTACCAATTGTAGAACCAATCAAAAGTATGTACACAGTGTTCGAAAAGTCCGAACGAATAAAAAAACAAAGACGAATAGCTCTTCAGCAATTTAAGAGATTTAAATATTTCTCTTTAGAATTTGATCATATATTTATTAAAGTTTTATTTAATATAAAGGGTATTCCATAAGTATCGACTCCAGTTTTATTTATTTTTTAGTCATTGCCGTATTTGAGGATGAATGAGCATTGACGATATATTTCTGGACATCAGAATCTAAGCTATCATCTAAGAGAAATCGCATTCAACCTTAAGAAAGTGCTGCACTAGTAAAAATATTGAAAAAATTTATGAAGTTGTTTTTTCTATACTTTATATATCAATATTTTTCAATATGGAAGGCATTGCAATGGAAATCAGTGTCAAGAATGTCAAACAATCATAAATGAATTGATCTAATCTTTATATGTTAAGATAAGAATATAATTATAGTTTAAAAGTAACAGTCAAACACTCGCTCAGTACAAGTCACGTTGATCGTTCTATTGTTATAGCACGCTAACCGTATGAGAGAAAATTTGAACATCCATTTATTTCGTGTTAGTCTTCCAATTATGTAATTTCTTGTGATACACATCGATTAAACATATAGTCTCTAAACTTGTTTCCAATATGTATGTGAAAATAAATTTTCCCTCACTTGAATAACGTACAACAAGAAGAGAACAACCAAAGTGACGCATAGTAAGTGAATGAGAGAGTAACTACTATTTTTCCTAACCTTGACAGAGAAATATTAAAAAAACCTGATGACATATTTTCTATGTTTTTACGGATGCAACACTTTCTGAAGGTCGATGCAAGTTGAGTGTAATTTCTCTTGGATGATAGCTTAGTTGCTACTCTTCAAAAATATATCGTCAATAACCATTGACCTTTAACTACAATAAAGATAAAACAAAAAGAAAATGGAGCCGGTACTTATGGAACGCCTATTTATTTCAGATACAATGTCTGCATCTAAAAAATCAAAATTTAAGTAATTTTATTGATGGTGAAATTCCAGTCAGCTATCCTTGTAAAGTAAAAGGTGCTAGTCGAGTTCGAAAAAAACATGCCGTCCTATAGCAATTACTGAGGAAAAAGTCAATGAAGTTAAGGATGCTTGCAAAAATGAGCTAGGATCAAGCATTCAGTCTATTGCACAAAACTTGCTCATTCACACAAACAACAACATATCGAATTATGACGGAACATCTCTGATTAAAGCCATGCAAGGTACAATTTGTTCAACAGTTCTACGAAGAAGAGTTACATAGGTCGCACACTTGATTCTAGTTCATTTTTACAAATATGATTAACTTCATCGACATTATTCTTCAATAGTTACTCTGCAATCTTCCGGAAAATAATTAATTTTCGATAGCACTGGCTTTACAAAATCACTAGAATGTATTGCTAATTCGATGTTTAGTTGGAACGTTTTTTTCCAAATTCAATTGGTAGTTACTGTTTTACAATGCTGGCTTATTCGAATTTAGCCATGAGTAAAACTATTGTAATATTGAATAAAACTTTAATGAATATGCGATTAAACTGTAAAAAGAAATATTTAAATTCCTGGAATTGCTGAGAAGGTATTCGTGTGTTTTTCTCTTCGTTCGAACCAGTGGAACGCTCTGTATATCAGAAATTTTTATTTTTTCTATTATTAGATCATGATTATTATTATCATCGTCGAAAATCTGCAACATCAAAATGTATTCAAACTGGAATATATCCCGATATACTTGATTGTTCATTGTTTCATTATTGTCATCAAAATCAAAAACATGAAATATTTAAATGTCCAAATGGATTACATTTTGATCCAAAAATATTTATGTGTTCAGCACGTCAACTAGTTTGTTACTTGAATAAGAAATACGGAAATAAAACTTTTTATTTAATCTATTTAGGTCGATTGTCAATATGAACCACCAATAGAATCAACAATAATTGATGATACTTCAATTATTGAATTAGGTTGTCATGCGATTGAGTTTAATATTGTTTTTAAAACAGTTAGTTTATGATTTTTTTATAGATCTAATTTGTCGTGATTATGCTCCTGGTACTCATTTACCCGTAGCAAATAAATTTAATGAATTTATAATATGTGGAAATAATGGTAAAAGAAGTATTCGAATGAAATGTAAACCAGGTTTTAATTACAATGCATTAACAGCAAATTGTGAAATGAGTAAATAGAAAAATTATCATTAATTTTTTTTTTTCGTATATTTTGATTTTTTTATAATATATTTTTCTTATCAGTATCATGTGCAATGGATTTAACATTATGTCAAAATAATGGTCAATGTATAGATGAGCCTGAAAATGCAAAAGGTTTTAAATGTATATGTTCAATTGAGTATCAAGGAGAATATTGTGAGAACCGTAAGAAAATTTCTTTTGATTAATGAGTAAAAGAAATAATATACTATTGAATAATTTAGATGTTGAATTAGAACAAACAACAAAACGTGGAATTAATATTTCGACGGAAGAGTTTTTACAATTTTCGAATGATTTCAAGTATGTTTAACTTATCGTTTCGTAATAAAAGTTTTACTGAAAAATTCTGATAATCTTTTTTGTTTTTCTAAAATATTGATTTTGAAATAAAATTGATAAATGTTTTGATTTTTGTTTAGTAATAATAATAAATCTCCAACAGCAATACCTTAGTAAGTCTATTTTAATATATATTCTATAAATTTGCTTTAAATATTCTTTTTAATTTCATAGTGTTGATCAAAATATTGGAGATAAAATTAATGTTATTGAAAAACAATTAACTGCTAATTCACAATTATCACGAATATTTCATTATATGAATAATAATTATGATCAAAAACAAGAAATCAATGACATTATCAAAATAATATTTATTTCTATTTTAACTTTAATCAGTCTTATTCTTTTTAGTTCAATTATTTTTGGTACTTTCATTTGTATTCGTTGGATTTTATTTCCATCAATAGAACCTGTTGGGGTTTGGAAAACATTACTAGAAGAATCAAATGTTTAATTACAGAATATTATTTCATATTCTGATTATAACATAGAATTATCTAATATTCGTTCATTTCGATTGTAAAAAAGTATAATTATTCTTAAATTCATTTCAAAAATAAATAGCATTGACAAACACAAAAATACCGCTAGTAACTTACAATTTTAATCTCATCTCACCTTTCATGATCCAAGATTTTTAGTTCCTTATGACGACTGAATAGTCTGAAGAGTAGTATCTATCTACTGAGTACATTTCGGGATTCAAAAATTGTCTTTGTACGTTAAACAATCAAATTAGCGAAAACTGCACATTGTTTCCTGTTTTTCTCAAAATCAGTCATTGAATAGAAAAGTTGACGTTTTCCGTCGCTTTCTTCTGGACGCCTCAACTGATTGAATTGAAATTTTTTTTGTGACAACTAAGATCAAATCGCAGTGTGTATTTTTTTTTCTTAAAATAATGTTCTGGTGATTTTTAACAGATCTTACAAGATTTGTTCTGGGCAAAAAAATAGGTTTTCTGACAGGGCTTCCATTATTTTAGTTCTCCTAAACAAAGAAAACGATATTTTTTAAAGAAAAGAATATATGCACTCCAATTTAGTCCTAATTATTACAAACAAATGAATTACGGCTGTTTTGTGGGAGAGGAATGAAACTTCAGGTCATTTTTGACTCTTACGTCCCCTATATCTCATAGAAAGAAGCATCCGAGAATTTTGAATCTATGATAACTTTTTCTCTACTAGTCGGAATCTATCTACCATGAAAATTCCAGAATTTTTGATCGAGCCGTACTAGAGAAACTCGGTAAAGAGAGAGGAAGTATCCTTCAGTTAAGACCCTCTCAAAAATTGATCTCAGATCAGGAACATCCAAATTGTATGAAACGTTCGGAATATGTTGGAGCTGGTGTGGGAAGGCTATGGTAAAATTTTCAGCCCTATATCATGGCGTTTGACAGAGATATTCACCAAACGAGGGTCGAAAATAGCTGATTTAGTCTCCAAGACCCTTTTTTTAAAATTCTTACTTTTTAAGCGAAGAAAAGGGATGAGAAGTTCAATGAGTCAAAAAACTCTTAACAAATAGCGCTGTTTCTATAGAGATGTTTTCTTATATGATAGTAAAAAAGCTTTTTTAAAAAAAAGGGTCACGAGAGTCGCTAGCCCCAAACACAAGCTTTCAAACAAAAAAAAATCATTGGCTACAAGAAGACTCCTTCGAGAATTCTTGAAGATACGATCGGAAACCTATAAAACGAGAAAAAATGAAAAAGATTTTTGGTTTTTTCCATCCGGCGTGATTCGCTCTGCGTGTATCCATTTCAAGCTTACAGGGAGTCGTCCTGGTCGCGCGTATGTACGCAATGATAAGTCGAGAAAAGTCGGAAAGAGGAGTGAGCAACAATCAAAACCAATTTATTGATCGAGCCAGAAAAAAAAGTTTACAATTTTTCTCGAATTTTTTCTAATGTGTCTTTATAACCAAGTTTTTTTTACTCCTGTTGTTTATAGCATAATAAAGGTAAAGAACTTCAAAGATATAATCAGTCTTGATTTCAAATATAAGAACTTCGTATGGAAAAAGAATCCTTACAAACCCACGTTATTAAAACAATTTCTACCTTCTTCAATGTGCGATTAAGCGGTACAAGGTCGTCTACCTGTGTATTTTCTGACTCTACATTCTTTAGATCATTCCAGTTCAAATATACATTTTTTTTACAGCAAAAAGCACACAAAGTATGGAGACCAAATGTGTACGCTACCGACTACAGAAATGCTGTGCTTCATACCGCATTAAAAAAGAGCGTCAGAATCAAAAAAAAAAGAAAACAAAATTGCTGTTCGAAATGTAGAGATAAAAAAGACATAGAGTTTGCTGACAATCGATTATTATTGGAAAAGAACTATGGTCTTTTAGAGATTTCATACTTAAGATATTTTGTATTAAACAAGACATATGAATTCCACATTTCAGTCTTAAAAAGATTGCGCTAACAAGCTTTTCATATTGGTCTAATATTTTAAATTAAATCAATTTAATGTTAATCATTATTCGATGTTTTATATAATTCAAGAAATCAATATGCTTTTTGAATTCTTAGTAATAAAACGATTCACTATTATCTATTTGAACGATTGTTGAATCTGATTCAGATAATTTTTTTTTAAATTAGATTGTAACGCTTACACTATATCTATATGACTTATTGACACGATCGCTATGATTGCAAATTTTCTCTCTCTCTCTCTGTTTTTTTCATTCCATTCAACTTTTCGTTAGTCACGTGGTTGTAATTAATAATAATAATGATACATCTAAAACAAAAAAGAAAAAGAAAAAGAAGAAATCATATTATAGTTCATATCGATCTATTATTTTAAAAAAACAACTTAAAACTTATTTCAAAAAGAAAAAGAGAAAACAACAACAAGAACAACAGATAAATGAATATCATTTGAAGAATATTTCAAATGTTATTATTCATCATCAATCACAGCAGATTGAATCATCATCAATTCAGCATTCAACTATGGTTGATTTTCAATTAACACCTGATCTTTCCAAACGTAAATATATCTATAAAGATATTACTTTATCAAATGATAATCAAAATCACATGAATTGGGTAAATAAAAAAATAAACAGATCGATATTCTTTAATCATGCACATATGTTTTTCTTTTATAGCGAGTCTTTCAATGTACACAACAATCATCATCATCAATGTCTTATTTTGATCAATCTGTAACAAATGGTAGGTTTTGAATACTGTCTGGTCCTCATGGTTATGTCATTCGACACGTATCTACAAGGTACTGTGCTTAAACCTTGGAGCGATCAGCCATGAAATGATCCTGTACAAGTCACTAACGGCTATCAGTCTCGAAAACACTCGTCCGATAGCATGCTGACCGACCAAGTTGTGACATTCGCCTGCTCTTATAGTTTGTTAGTGTGTATGAAGAGCTCTGCGTCAGACCGACTTTCTGTTCAGAGCTACACTCAGAGGTTTCAAAAGCGAGGAAGAAGTGTACACACTTTAATAATCGAAAACGATTTATTATTACCAAGGCCGAATAAACACATTCCTTGATTTCTATCATAGAAGTCAGTTTGTTTCCTCTTGCATTACCATACGGCTTCTGGTTACAGTTAATATTATTTGTAGGGAAGATATCAGGTTAATAAATCTGACACTAGGTAGTATCTTATACTTCAAAGTAGCCGAAAAGTAGAGATATTCTTTCTTCCTTTATATTCTTTAGCGAGATATTTTCAAGATTATTTAATCTTTAGGTTTTTGTACTTTATTTTATTACTTTAGATCGCAATTATAATCCATTTTATTTTACTAATAATCCAATATCATTACCGGATATACGAATTGGTTTATCACGACATCATAGTATCAAACAGTTACATAAAACAGTAATAAATTAGAGATGTATTTTTCTTTTAGAAATTAGATTTTTTTTTTGATTCGTTATCATTATAATTATAATTGTCACTTGGTTGATAATGTTTATGTTTTGTAGTTTGACTTATTTATTAATTAAATAGATTTATTGTAGTACTTAAAATGATATATTATATAAAAGCTAAATACTATTTTGTTTATTCTAAATAATAATAATGATGATGATGATGATGATGATGGTAAAAGTGGCTTTTCATATGTATTACATTTATCTGTTGAACAACAATAATAAGATACTGTACATGCTGATGAATAACTAAGTGTTTGATCACAATTCGATGGCGAATGATTTGAATGTGATTGATCACCCGTTAGATCAGTGACATGTATACCCATTGATAGACAATTCATTTGAATACGCTAAATGATAGAAAGAAAAAAGCCTCATGAGATATGAAAAAATTGTTATTATTCATACAAAACATAAATCATTATCAATAGATATTTCTGTTGGTGTTGATGTACAACCATTACATTCATAGCATGTTATATTAACATCTGCATTAACTAAATTTAAATTATGAATAAATATTTAAAATAAATATATTTTGAATATATTTTTACTTGTTAGTAGAATAGCACCGGAAAGAAGAAAATAGAACATTGATAGGTCAATAGAGAAATATTTCTTCGAAATGATAATCAATAACAAATAATTGTGAATTGGTTGTTATTATTTTTCAATCTATTTTTTTTCTTCCTCATATTTCTATAAAAATTGAATTAAGTAAATAATCAATTTCATGACAGTTTTTTTTTCATAAATATCGAACTTGTATTTTTGTTTCGGTAGACGACGTTGTACATCCCGAGGTCTGATAGAAAATAGCGAAATTCAATAGAGTATGGATATCACAATTTGATTCGATTAGTAGAATTGACAAATAGATAAGAAATGAGAATAGAGTATTAGCCAAAGTAAACATTCTAATGATACTAATTCTAAAAATAAGACAATCATAAACTGATGTATTTATTTTGAAACTAAACTAATTCAATACAATCGAAAATGAAAAACAATGATCGATCGGAATGCTACGATTGACTTTTTAGTTTTATTGATGGATAACAAATCAAATTTTTGGCTTAAGAAATTTTTCACTCATGAGTATATTTTTCTTGAGAGCAATGGTTTTATCTGATTTACAAAATAGTATATACGTTACACATTTTGCATCTAAAAAAAGCAAATTGATTCTATTAGATTCATAAGAGAAGAGCCTATCTTCCCCTAAGTATTATTAGTAAAATGAGAAAAGCTGAGGAAGAATTACATTTTTTTATGCTCATTATTTGTTTGAAAATGATTAATATCTGTTTACATATTGACCTAAAGAAGAAACATTAGATTTTATTGAATTTTAGAAAGAAAGATCCATATTATGAGTTTGATAAATCGAAAAACAACTGAAATTTCTTATATAAATACAGTATAACAAGTTAACTATACTATTGAAATTTTTTATTAACATCTATCATTTGACTATTACTCCTTTTTGGTTAATTAATTTCAAATAGTAAATCTTAAAAGAACTTTTCTTTACTAATGAATCGACATTTTTTTTATTCTAAATCTGTTGCTTAGGTAGCGTTTTATTTTGTTTTCTACTTGCTTTCTTTGTGCGGTATTTAATTTTCAAGTAAAAAGATTTGAAAGACATTACTGTAAACATTAGAAATTCATTAAGCTGATATCGTGAATAAAATGGTTTGATAAAAAAAAAGAATAACAAGAACGAATAGATATTTTTGGTCAGAAAATTATATTAAAGATAATGATGAGAAGTTTGAAAATTGAAAAGAGAAGATCTAAAAAACAGCAAGTTATCATTGAAAATTACTCGATGTTGAAATGATACGATTGATTAAAACATTGGGTATGTCTATCATAATGACAAACGTTTATGTAACTCATCGCCGAATCTCTTTCTATAATCTCTATCCATAGTCTTCGTTTTAACAATCAGCCTTTTCGTTCACTTTTTGGATATATACTGAGAGAATGACTATTCAATTATGATGTGTGTACTATAGACTGTGTCCTAATCTTGTATTAGTAGCTTAGCGAGTTAATATCGATTCTAGTAACCTATGACAGGGCTCGAAATGAGCCATTTGGATCAAACTTTATTTCTTTTTTCAAAGAAGATTTTCTTCGTAAGAAAATAGACAACATTTGATTTTTCAACTTTGAAGATGGATTTCATTTGATATTAGTCTATCTTAATCGATTTTTGAAAAACATTTTCAATCGATAAAACTATATCAATCGATCAAGAAAGATTAAAATGAATTGAAATCTATCTTTAAAACTGAAAAATCAGATTTCAATCAGAATTAAATAGTGTCATTTTAATCGATCTTATTCTTATTTCTTGTCAAAATTTCTTACATGAGTTTTGTATCTCGCGACTGGTAACAATCAGAAATCTTTATTATGCGAACATGTCAGAAGTTTCATTCAGTAAATAAGCAAAAGCAGAGCATTTATTCTGTTCAATGACATTTCTCATCTACATACAAGGTCGAGTACACTATCAACTACATTTGGTAGCATGAACGTTATGGAAGTAGAACAGTGTAACAGGAATATAGTAATCGATCTGACTTTTTGAAATTAGTCAGCAGGGATTTGTAAAAGCTTATATTAATAAATAATAATCTTCAATAAGTTGGAGTATCCACGCAGGCATCTTAATCTTTCGGTTTAATAAGTAATTCGACTTACCTCTATTACTATGTTTTTAAGCATTAAAATTGTCCAACCTTATTCAACTCGTGATCCCTATGACAATAAACCTTTTACAATGTTCTAATAAATGATTGCGGAACTCAATCGCTTGGAAATGCTTTTTGTAAAAGAAATATACATTTAATAGTCCCATTCTAAGTTGACCCGGTGCAGATCATCAGAAAGGGACCCGATTTCGAGACCTGCTGAGTAGGTTCACTCATAACCACTATTAAGTACAATTAATATTCATACATATTACATTAGAACGTTTTTAATACTGTAAGTATCATCTCAAATTGTCATTGATAGTTTCAGTGATCGAAATGAAGATGGCCGACATCTGTCTCTCGGAAAGTTATATCATCGAATATCGACAAAGTGTAGTTCGATCCGAGATTCAAGTACATCTGCTAAAACACATCAAGTTTAGAAGACTGATTGTCAGTGTTTTATTCTATTTTGGCAAAAAAAATGAGAAATTTAAAATGTGAGAATTATTTAAATTTAAGATAATTTTAATAAGAAGTATCAAAAGACAATGAAACGATATGTTCAAATATTTAAGTAATATTATATCGAGTAGTACCGCCATCTAGATATTCTTCTGAATATCGTTGACCAACAAAAAATCGACTTGTTTTTCCATAATTTACCTTGCGCCATATCAACGTGGATATTACTTGATGTATACTTGTTGTGTTTTTCTCAAACTAAGGTCGATTCGTTTCACTAATCCTGACTCTATTCTTTTATTTTTAGTTTTATATATGCTTCGTAATCTTGGTCGTGTCGCGACAAATGTTTGTCGTCAACGTCGTATTGCTTTCGAAGCAATTCGAGCTCTTGGTATTGATGAAAAAAAAAACCATAGTTTTTATTTATAAAATTTTAATTGGTTTCATTTTACTATTCAGCATCAACACCATTAAAAATGCCTTCTCTTTCTCCAACGATGAGTGAAGGAACAATCGTTAGATGGCTCAAAAAAGAAGGTCTGATAATTAATTAATAAATATGAAACTTAAATTATTGATTATTTTAGGCGAAGAATTTAATCCTGGTGATGCTTTATGTGAAATTCAAACGGATAAAGCAACAATAACTCTTGATACTGAAGAAGAGGGTATTGTTGCTAAAATTCTAGTAAAGAAATTATTAATTTTGTTTTTTTTTTTCATAAAAGAAAATTATGATTTTATTTTAGATGCCCGATAATTCAACCGATGTTAAAGTTGGAAAATTAATTGCAATTCTTGTTGAAAAAGGTGATGATTGGAAAAATGTTGAAGTACCAAAAACTGAAGAGAAAACTTCGGAGAAAAAGCCGTCTGAAACAAAACCCGTTGAAAAAGAAGAGAAACAAGAACAACCTAAAAGTGATCAACAACAAACTGCACAATCTCAGTGCGTGTATTCTAACATAGAAATAATTAATCACTTTTTATTTATTTATTAAGTCATGCTGTTGGTCCAGCTGCACGTACTCTTCTAGAACAATATGGTATTGAACTTTCTAAAATACAAGGCACTGGACCACATGGTATTATTATGAAAAGGTTTTTACTTGTTTATTTTTTGTTTTCTTCTTAATCAAATAAGAATTTCATTTTCGTTAATTTCTAGTGATGTTCAAAATTATATTGATAGTAATCAACTTAAAGCTAAATCACATACCCAAGAAAAGAAACCTACAAAACAACAAACACCAGATAAACAAGAAAAACAAATCAAGGAATCTGGAGGACGTCGATATCATGATATAGAAATTTCATCTATTCGTCGAGCAATTGCTAAACGTTTAACATATTCTAAAACTAATATACCTCATCAATATATTAGTATAACATCTAATGTTGATCAAATAATTAAATTACGTAAACAAATGATTAGTGATCCTAAAGCAACAGTTAAAGTATCCGTCAATGACTTCATTATTAAAGCTGTCGCTTATGGATTGAGAGTAAGTTACTCAAAAAAAAAACGATTATTAATATCTTTAAAACAAAGCTAGAAAATTAAAATATTCCTTTAACATTTCTTATTGCTTTATAATTATTAGTAAAAAAAAATATTTCTTTTTTAGTATATACAGTAGTTACCAAAAGCCTTACTACCTGAGGAAAAAGTACCTAAATTTGAACTTTTTGTCACATTTTTTTTTTATTTTAAAAAGAGTTCGGTAAATCTTAATCACAACCACTAATTTAAAGTTAATCGATCTTAGTGCATTGGATTTAGGAAAAAACACCGATTTTTTCCTTGGACTTCAAAAAAGCCTTTTTCGATGCATTAATATCTATTCTTTTATTGATAAATAAAGTTCCACAGTGTCTTTATTGTATCACAGAGAGTTCGAGTCTGTTGAGATCTTGAGATACATTGATGTTTCTATTAGCTGGAACGGCCGTCACAAAGATCTTCGCTCCATCGATGAAGAAAATTTCACAGCAAACAATTGAAAATATTTTTTTGACAGATCTCATCAATTCCCATGCTAAGAATACTCAACGATAACTTCACAGATCAAGCAAACTATAATCGTTTGACATGAAATTTTTATCGATGATAGAGCCAACACTGAGTTCTCGAATGAGAGATCAAACAATTGCTTATGTTGAATGAATACAATGAAGTAGACTACTAATCAATTGTTTTGTAATGGTAAAAATATAAAAATTTCATCTATATTTTCTCTTCAGAATGAATAGTTGCAATTTTTTCAATGCTAGACAATGTCACTAACTATATACATTATATTTTTTTAGTTGAAAAATGTTTCGAAAATTTATAAGAATCGAAAAATCAGTTAAATGATTTTTTTGTCATTTATTTTGCTCACCAATCTTCGCAACAGTGGATCGGTCCTCCTTCCAATGTCGCGAACCTTCCATTCTCAGTAGTCAATCCTCCGCCTTCAATCTTGATGACCTCAAGACACCCATGTTTTTTTTTACTATACCTTGACGTTCTATATCTATTTATACGAAAAAAAAAATTTTTTTTTTCGAATCATATAAAAATATCGGTTTTTCTTGTCTATTTTGTTATAGCAAGTACCACAAATGAATGGTGTCTATGATGATAAAAATGGTCTTAAACTTCAATCAACAGTTGATATAAGTGTTGCAGTTGCAACTGATAATGGTCTTATAACACCGATTGTATTTAATGCTGATCGTTTATCAGTACAAGATATAAATGGACAAGTTCGACAACTAGCAACTAAAGCTAAAGAAGGAAAATTAAAACCTAATGAATTTCAAGGTGGTTCATTTACAATCTCAAATTTAGGTATGTTTGGTATTCGATCATTTTCGGCTGTTATTAATCCACCACAAATTGGTATATTGGCTATTGGTCAAAATCTTCTTAAATATAGTGGTGATGATCTTAAAACTGAAAATCAATTAATTGTTACATTATCTTATGATGCACGTGCATGTGATCCTCAATCAAGTGCATTATTTCTTCAAGCATTTCGATCATATATGGAAAATCCTACTATGCTTATAACAAATAACAAATCAGAATCAATTCTTAACTTTTAAAATTGAACTTATTTTAGTCATGTAGAATAGGTGTATTTTTCTTTTGTTCATATATATGTCTCATTTCATATGTAACATGACTTTTCATTAGTTTCACCCTATTTTAGATTTATAATTTGTCGAACATGCAATTCGACATAAGAAGGTAAATTGAAAAAAAAGATTTTATCAAATACATTTTTTGTTTGTGTTTTTTTTTAATTTAGATTCGATATTTATCGAAAAGTTCCTAAAGATCTCACACACGCGACCACTACCGGTGCCGCTATCTCACTTATTTGCATTACATTTATATCAACATTACTTCTCATTGAACTCTATTATTTTATTACGCCTGATGTGTAAGAAAAACAAATTTTTGAAGCAAAAAAAAAAAAAAAGAAATCATTTATCTTTAATACGTTTTTTTTTCAGTGTCAGTGAATTATTTGTTGATGCACCAGATTTTGGTACCAGTAATCGGATACCAGTGCATGTTGATATTACTGTATCAGAAATTCCTTGTCAATGTAAGAATAATGAAAAAAAAGAAATTTATGGTTTATATTAATATCGATTTTTATTTTAGATCTTGGTATTGATATTCAAGATGATCTTGGTCGACATGAAGTTGGATTTCATGATAATACATTAAAAACACCAGATAATAATGATAAAGGTTGTCGTATTAATGCTACATTTACAGTAACTCGTGTACCGGGTAATTTTCACGTCTCAACACATTCCGCTGCATCTCAGCCAACAATTGGTGATATGAAACATGTGATACATGATTTAAGATTTGGTGATTCCATAAAAGTTTGTTCATTTGAAATATAAATTGAAATGAAGATAAATATTTTTTTTTGTATGTGTGTTTTAAAAGGGTTTTCGACAAATTCCAAATCGAAAAGCATTCCGTCCATTAAGAGGTTTTAATAATACAAATCATCCTATTCATGTTTCACATGATTATTTAATGAAAATTGTACCTACCATATATGAAAATCTTAGTGGAGTTCGTCGATATCCATTTCAATACACATTTGTCTATCGGGTTAGTAAAATAAATTTTTTTTTTGTATAAAATTAATTAATTAATTAATTATTCAATATTCAAATCAAGTTTTAATAGGACATTCTTTATTATTGAAGGATTCTATTTTGACAAGAAAACAACTGATTACTACAATTTATGCTCATATATTTTTCATTTTAGAATGACAGTTATTTTACTTGTGTGCTAGGCTATTATAAATTAAGTAGAAAAAAATAGCTTTTTTCTTAATGTAAATCTTTACCCCGATAAATGTATAACGGTTCCTAGAAGTATTTATTTTACAAAGAGCTAAACGAATTATAAAATAACCATTTTCTAGATTTATAAGAGAGCGTTTGATCAATTGAAAATGTTCCCCTCGTTAATCATGACTTTTCATCGGAAACGTTCGGGTTAAAATACATTCTATTAAGTTCATCTTTAGTATTTCACATCAGCAGAACTAAAAAAACAGTAAAGTGGATAAACCTGAAAAAGAACGGTTAAGCTCCTAATTTTCAGTATACAGGTTGATTCTATTATTTTTAACTGTTTTGTTCAGTCTGCTGTATTTATACAAAAATCTTAGCGGTTTCTTATTTTAATATAGTTGGATAGAAAATCAATTGCTCTGTCGAAGTATATAATTTTTATGTAATTTATTTTGTAATTTGTCAGAAAATTCCGAACAATAGATTTTTTTTTTCACTTACTAATTTTCGAATCATTTCTCAATTAATTTTTTTTTTCGTAAACTATTATCTACTAGAATAGTGAAACTTTTCATTAGATTTTCAAGAGAAAATCCTCAATTGAATTAATCATTTTTTGAGTCGAGATTATGTGCATCATGTAGATCCAAATAAGCTATGAATACTCTAAAAAGAACTTTTGTCCTTAACTCATTGTTGCTGAGATATTGCATTTTTGCGATATTTTTTCAAGTAAATGCCGTAATTTCCATCGAGAATATTAGGTAAATTCGTTTGGAAATTTTTATTTGAAGTTTTACACACAGAGATAGATCTTGATGCGAATAGTTTATTATGAAAGTTTCAGATCATTTTATTGTTCTTATTCTAAGATACGGCTATGATAAAGACTTGTCTTTTACACTGCTCATATACACTAGCAGAGTTGACATTTTTATTTCAGCAAAGAAATAACTCAAAAGACCCGAAGACTTTCACAATCAACTATTAATGTTAAGATGTGTCTCCGGGTCATTTTGTAGGTGGAAATTTGAAAATGAATGTTCCTGAAGAGAACCACGGCATCGATGTGGAAAAATACCATAAAAATGCAGCAATAAGTTTAGAGCCTAAACTATCTTTACAGTATTCATAACTCATTAGGATCAAAATGGTGCACATAATACAAATTTCAAAGTAATTAATCACTTGAGGGATTTCCCTTGTTAGCTCTTATCTTCACTATAAATTTAATGATTGTCTAACACATTTTTTCTTTGATATAAGACTTGATAGAACGTTGTTTTTTTTGTGTAATTTTGATCAGACTTACGTCAAATTTTATAAATGAATTTTCGTAAAAAAGACTATAAAGTGAACTTTTCATAAGTACAAAAATGTTCAATTTTCTTCTCTATTTCAAACCCGTTTTGTTTATAGATTTAAGTTTAATAGATTTTTTTCATCTAATACGACTCTTATGGTAAACAAATTTATTCCTACTGAATAATGATCATAGAAAAGTTTCATTTCATAGGTTTCTGTGTAAAATAAATCATAATAAGAAACCACCAGAGGTTTTATATAAATATAACATATTGAAAAAAAAACCTAAAATCTTCTTATGAACTAATCCAATATTAAACATGATATTATGATTTTTTTTTCTAGTAAATTTATAAAGAGATTGCTTTGAATTTCTCACTAGTTAAATTTTCTTCTTGTAGAAAATCATCAAATTTTGCTGAAATTGATTTTAATATTGAATTATTAACTTTTGCCTTTTTTTTGTTTTTTGAATGAATGACTCGATCGCTCAATTCTGATTTCAATAATATAAGTAGATCAATGCTTTGAACTGCAATATGCACTAATACCTAGAAAACACAACAAATAGGACACCATTATCTATTGAAACTAATTTATGTCAAGTTACTTCCTTTTTAACCGACAAAAATAAAGATAGATTTTTTTTTCAAAAAGCACTTATCTATATTTGTTTTTAGATTTTCTTCTAAGTGCTGAAAAATCTTTTGAACAATTCTAAGATGCTAGAAAAAATATATTTTTGTTTTTGGTGCTGAATCGCTTATGTTTAACGATCTATATGTATCAAATAAAAAGTTTTTTTTTTTATATACGATCGACTTCTATCTATTCTTCATCAGTATGAGAATCAAACAGAAAAACCCAAGAGGAAATAAAAAAAAAAGAGTATAATTAGCGTCGAAGCATAAAATAATTACCGCTTGCTTTCGATATGTTTCCAATAAATAACTTTTAATTCCTGACTTCCAACCGTGCTAATAAAGACTTGAGTCATGATTAGTACCTATTTTATCTATTATTACTTCATCTCATCTCATTTCCGATATAATTGCGGTGTCAAAGAATCAACAAAAAAAGCTTCTATTTTTTTTTCTTGATTGCGATCTATTCAAATCATAGTGCCTAATGCGACAAGGTCAAATATTATAAAATGACCTGGATTGAATACTAATTCTTGCAATTAAATCAAACTTTTTATTTAATAAAATTTCATGTATTTGAAATGAAAAGATCTTCTCTAAAAACAATTCTTTTGCTTTTTTATTTAAAGGAATTTAATCCACATCAAGGTGTAGTAGGAGCAATATGGTTTCGTTATGATATTATGGTAAAAATGAAATAATTTTTAATTTAATGTATCTGGTTTTTGTTTCTCATTTAGCCAATAACAGTTAAATATACTGAACGTCGACAAAAATTTTATACATTTATAACATCAATATGTGCTGTTGTAGGTGGTTCATTTACAGTAGCAAGTATTCTTGATTCAATTGTATTTACAGCAAGTGAATTATTTAAAAAATTTGAAATTGGTAAAATGACATAAAATTTTTTTTAAATTATTTAAATCAAAGACAACAAAAAAAAATCTATTTATTCTTGCGCCAACGAACTTATTTCCAGTTATATTTCTTTTTTTTTGTTTTTCGTAGTTATAATTTATTGTTTTTTTCTTTTAGCCTAACAAATAGTTTAATTGAAGAATCTCATAATAAATAAAATCAATTCTTTTTTTCGTTATATTTTACTTTATTATCACTATTGCACATATAGATATATGATACATTTTAAATAACACAGTTTTTACTTATGGAGAAAAAAAAAGAAAAGACGAAATTCGATGTCTCATTCAATTTTATTGATGGTTCCTATTACAAACGTAGTTTTCTTTAATATAATATTCTTTGTTCTATTGTGTTGTTTCGTCAGAGAAATGAATTCTGTATTTATTGATAGAACATTAAAACAATATTATAATTGTATTGCATTTTATAACTCTTTTTGAAGAATATGATGTAACTGATGTTGTCCGCCTGTTTTCTATTGGCTTGATTAGAAAGTAATCAGTACATCTTTACTAATTTTACAGACGGTTGAATTCTTATTATTATATGCATGAAGAGATGCTTGTCATATAAAAATGTATGGTTTCGTCAATGATGACATGAGTCGCCCTAGGAATGTCCTTAATAATGAAATATGTCACAGTAGGAACCGAAATTCAACGTCAAAAATCGGTACTCATTATTGTCAATATCTCTATTACTCATTTAATCCTATTGAAATATTGATATTCAATATAAGTATATTTATGAAACAAAGATTCATGAAAAAAAAACAATATGGCGAACATTCTATATTTAAGTAACAGGAAATGATGAATAGCTGACAGCATATTATTTTTGATTGAATAGAGAAAGAACAAGCTCAATTAGTGTGAATATGCATATGGAACATTAATATTAAAAATCATACTTACCGAGTAGATGTACTTCAATTCCATCATATAACATAGTTCTATACATCCGGAAGACAAAACGGATCGTATTAAAGTGAAGAAGTCACTTACTGTCATCAGTTCTTCTAGTTACGTCTTTTATAATTCAAAGACGATTAATTGATTTCGGTTTGTATCAATCGAAATGTTTACATACTTTAAACATCTATTTGTATATATAATCTAAGATTATAGAACTCTATTTTATTAAGCCTCCTCTCAAAAAAGATAAATATAAGGAAAGATAGTCTGTGATCTGATCTTTCATAAATGATAATAATGTTTACTCGATACCTCGTTTTTCTCTAAACATTTTTCAAGATTTCTATCAGCTCCTATTCGAAAAATATGCCGTTTTTGGAAAAAAATTAAAAATCTTTTTTGTTTTTTTAGATTTTCGATCACATCGTCCAGAATTCTTGCAGGAGCTTCGTTATAGCCAATAACTTGTTTTTTTTTTGTTTGAAAGCTCGTGTTTAGAACTAGCGACTCTCATCATTCTTTTTTTAAAATAAGCTTTTTTATTATCATATAAGAAAACACTTCTATAGAAACAGGACTATTTTTAGGGGTTCTTTAAGTCATTGAACTTGTGATTTCCTTCTCCACTTAAAAAGTAAGAACTTAAAAAAAAAAGATTCTGTGGTGCTCTTCACCCTGACATACTCTTTCAAACAAAAAAAATTAAATATATAGAATGAGCGTGGGGATAGAAATTTGGCTCGTCAAATCTGCTATTTTTGGCTCTTGTTTGGTGAATATTTTTGTCAAACGCTATGATATAGAGCTGATAATTCTACCATAGGCTCTTCACGCCAGCTCCAATATATCTTGAAAGTTTCATGCAATTTGAATATTCTTGGTCTAAGATCGATTTTTGAGGAGGGAACCTGAAATATCAATATGATTATTTGTCATAAAAAATACATAGAAATTTTTGATAAAGATGATAGATGAAACAACTATATATATATATATGTTAGTTTTGTACAGAATACTCATCACAATGGTAACTAATTAAAATCATCAGTTGATGTTTGTCTGTCATTTTAAATTCTAATCAACGTCATTATTATTATCTTTCTTTTTCTTGTTAGTTTTTTTTTCTTCTCGTCTCTTCCTACGTCTACTTCTCATTTTCTTCTTCTATTGTAATCATCGTTTTTTTTTCTATTGCTTTCTTATAATCACTGTTGAAATTTTGTTGGCAAGTGTAACAGTGCGATAGAAAAAAAAAAGAAATTAAAAGAAAAACACAGTTCTTTCTTTAAAATCAGAAATAGAAAAACATTAGTAATCAAAACTAATCTATCTATTTAACGGTCTATTCTATCATGCAAATGAATGTATAGATGAATTTACACAAGTAAGTTTTATTTATTTACTTCAACAAATATAAGTGTTATATTTTATTCTTTTCTTTTTAAATTTACATGAATAATTTTATAAGAAAAAACAAATAGAGAAAATACTTAAGTGATATTAGTAGGTTGAAAAATCTTTTAGAGAAAAAAAAACAAGGACATAATTTCATTATTAAACTCAAGGTCATACGTGTTCAGAAAATTTATAACTATGTGCGTAAGTGATGCTAGTATTATCTGACAGAATCATATTTGTAAATACAATTTGATTAATTAAATGTATATATGAAACTTCGTATTTTACGACAATACTTTCTTTCATTTTTGAAATATAATCCATGGAGTCAAAAAATTTCATGATTTTTGTATTAAAAACACGAAAAAACACAAAGGTATTTCTAATGATGAAATGGACAAAAAATTCATGTTTTTCAAATTCATTGATGAAAAGCGACATTTTAATTAAGCAAATGTAGTGAATTTCATTGTTAATCAAAATCATGCAATGAAAATGTCTATTTTAATCGATGAATTTGAAACTACGTCAATTTTTTTTTGATCGTTTCATTATTTTAATGCTATTTTTTAATTCCTTAGAAAGTAAGCAAAATAGATCTATACGATTAATAAAAAAAGACAAGTACATGATGACTTGAGAAGAAAAAAGCTTCCTTTTTAAATTACTCTTACTTAGAAATAATAATTTTCTTATGTTGTTTTTCTTTTTTGTATAATTTGAAATATTAGTATTTTAAATTAATAATATAATAGTCAAATATTTTCATATAACTAAACGATGTAAAAAAATACCTGGAATTCACACATATGATGTTAATAAAGATTATCTTATCTAAGAAGGATTATGATAGAGGATAAGGTTGATTTATTAGCAAATCTCTCTTTTGTTTTTCAAGTGACAGTTTTGTATTATAGAATTCTTTTGTATTTTTATTCAAAAGAAGATAAAAACTGACAAAGTATTTTATCTTGTTCAAATGAGTATAGAAATTTTTCTTTTTTTCCATCAATGATTTTAAAGGATAAGTTTGAGACAGACTTTGTAAAGTCTATTTTTTTTTTATTGTTTTGATATTTGATTTTATTCATTCTAATGGACTTTCTTTTTCAATGAGATTTGTTATTGCACATTAATATTTATCTCAAAGCTTCTTTCTTTGTAGTCCATGTCATTCTCTTTTTTTTTCTTGTTTTCTATATTGACGATGAAGAGAGAGTGAGAAATCGACATTTGAAGTTTTTCCTTGTGTTTTGTGCGTAAACAATGATGCACGACATTAATATCTCTATGTTGTTCTATATCTTTTGTGTTACTAGAAAAGAAAAAGAGCATCTAGTCCTATTCTATTACAATGAGGATCAAAAGAAAAAGAGACGAAATAATGTTTATCATTTTTAAAAAAAAAAACTATTTGTGTCCTTAAAGCCAACAAGCACGTTTTCCTCATTTGTATGTTTCCCACAGAAATAGTACGATAAATGGATTTTACGATAAAATAAATTTATAAATAGATTAGTATATGAAAAGAGGAAAAAGAAAATCAAGTAGAAGTTCGTTAACATCTGAGATGGCTATATTTTTTTTGTCTTAATATATAATGAACTTTCTCAAAAAAATAATATGACTTGTATTGTTTGTTTTTTAGATTATCTGAATTATTTTCATTTTAATTGATTATGATCAAATAATAATTATGATGAATAATAATTTTACTATGAATAATGATGATATACATCATACAGAACAAATGTTATCAATTATTCATTTACGATTTTTTCTTGTTCGTATTTTTTATCCATGTTTACTTGTATGGGGTACAATTGGTAATGCATTATGTTTACGTGTTTTATTAAGTAAAAAATTTTTTAAAAATTCAACATGTCAATATTTAGCTGTACTTGCTGTTATTGATATATTATTTATATTTATGCGTTCAAGTAAACATGTTTATAAATTATTTCGTGATACACCTATATTTAATACATCAAAATGGATATGTCGTATATTAACATTTTTTTCATCAGCACTTGCACATATGGGATCATGGATATTGGTTATTGTTAGTTTTGATCGATATTTCATAGTAACAAGTGGATATAGACGACATAGTTCATCTGTTAATCGAGTTTTTTGTTCAACAAGTATACTTTTTGCTATTGTTGTTTTATGCAATCTTTATTATTTCTTTATACTTGGTAAGAAAATATTTATATTCAATTAAAATAATCTTGAATTAGTTCGTTGATTTTAATAAACATAAAATACTTAATATTTAGAAAATAATTAAAATTCATTCTAATTAAATAAGAATACAATGATTTCAAATTGTTTCTCATATAATTCTTTTGTTAAACAAATACATTAAATAGTTAGTTAAACAAACATTATTTTAATATTAATGTCTCAAAATATAATGTAAGAAAGAAGGATCTTCGTAACTCTGTTAGAAGTAATAATTCTATCTTATGCTCATCTTTCAAAATATGACAAGATTATTAGCGTAGTTTCAGATTACTTACTGAGACCAAAATCTCTATAATCAAAATTGTATACTCTACAAGGAAATGGATTTTTCAAATTTGAAAAGAAATCTCTCTAATAGAATATATAATTAGGCTGCATTTTATTCTTTACTATACAAAAAAAAAAAAATGGAGACCACCTATATCCGATGAGAGAAAATTTGTTTGTACACGAAATTTTTATTTTTACAAAAACATGCAATGAAGATTTATATATTATAGAGCAAAACAACAAACGTTAAATAAATTATATATAATTTATTTAATTGAACAGAAATTTTATAAATCTTTTCTAAATGTATTTCCACAATAAAAAGGTCGAAAGTTAATTTTAAAAAAGAAATTTAAGTTCATGCATAACAATTTTTAAATTAAGTATCTACTTTTAACCAGAAATCACAACTTATGAATGATTATATTCAACTGTTGGACTGCTATTCGATTTCATATGATGGCTATGAGAATAGGTCACAATGAGATTAAGAAAAAAAAAAGCATTTTGAGTTCATGTTCTACTGATGAAGAGTTATAGCCGTTATAATAAAATTTCTATTAATTATAAGATATTTCCGGAAGATGCAAAGCAAAGAGTTCCTAGCTGAAATTTTGCCTATAGGCAAATTTGATAGTTCGGAAAGTTTCAATGAAAATAAACAAGGTTTTGCTCGAGATATTTAATTTACAAGTTGACTCAATTATCCTATATCTTCTTATGGTAAATTGCTGTTAATTTTTTTTTTAGGAAATGAAATATTTCGAGAAAAAGATATATTTATTTTCGTTGACACTTTTCAAACTATTTTAATGATCAATAACTATGTATATAAACAAAATCTTTATTTTACATTTTTTTGAAAATAGTTTTGTTCTTAAATGAAAAAAAAATAATTTTATAAAAATGATCATAACTTTTCATTAGTAGGTCATGAAATTGAGTCTTTTTTTTAAAAACTTTTCTTAGTCTTATAGCGATCTTGTCGTTATCATAATATGAAATCAAATGACATCCAATAACTGATTATGTTCTCTGATTACTTGATTAATTTATGACATTTAGTTTAGTTCTTTTATGAAAAGAACTATTCTCAGATATCTATTGATAAATTCGAGTGATAATAACATTCTCTGATGAGTATATTTAATATATGCATGATTAAATTACATATTTCTGTCGTACTTTAAATTAGAACTTGTATTTATTCATGTTGTTTTTTCTTTTTGTTTCTCAATTCCATTGTGATTTAATTTAGAAGAGTACAAAGAATCTCATTGTATATATATATAAATGAATTTTTTTCATTAATCTAAATATATATTTAGTAAATATTTGATTCTTTTAATTAATAAGGTCGTGAAACAAAATTAGATTATTATGGATCAACTAGTCAACCATATTATTCATTAAATGATACAATGGATATTAATAATAATAAGTCTTTAGAAATGATGAATGTTAATGGTTTATTTCAATCAAAAGTAATTTCAATATTTGTATGTATACCAAGTAACGGTTATGAACGTTTTTTTCGTACTTATATACCTATATTTGATATTTTACTTGTTGCTGTTATACCATTTTTCCTTCTTTGTTTCTCTAATATTGGTATTATACTATATACCATGCGTAAAAGTCGTCATATGCATCAACATCGTAAACGCGCACATCGTCGCCATCAACGATTAACAATAATGCTCCTATCGGTTACATTAGCTTTTATTGGTTTAACGTGTCCATCAGTTATATTCATATGTGCTAATAAAATAATTCAATCAAATAGAATGAAACGCGATGAAAAAACTGATAATATTAATCAATTATTTGGGCGTGGTCAACCATCTAATGTACCATTAATTGTTGAAGCATGTGAAGCATTATGGTATACAAAACATGCAATGAATTTTATATTATATACATTAAGTGGACAAGATTTTCGTCGAGAATTTATTAAATTATTTACACAATGTTTTCATAATCGACCAGCTATATTGAAAAAATTAATACGACAAACTCCCATGACAACACAACAAACAATTGATTCAACATTAATTGAAATACCAATAATAACAGATACAAGTTATGGAAAAAAGAAACACACAAATAATAATAATGAAATAATTGTATGAATTGAAAAGAATTCACAAAAACATCTTAATCTGTTTGAACATATATGTACAGTATTGATCAATTGTTAGTTTTTTTCTCTCTCTCTCTTTTTTTTTCAAAATAATAATAATAATAATAATAATGAAATCTCGTTTTTATTTATTAATAACCTGAGATCCGATAGAACATTTAATAAACTAAAGAAGAAAAAAAGAAAGAAAACGATGCAGAAAGTAGGGTATCACAGTGTTCAAAAAAAAAGGAACGAACTTGAATTAATTAATGAAGAAATGGCTAGTATAGAATCATTCTCTGTTAAGAAAAAAGAAAAATTTGAAAGACAAATTAAAACTAAAAAAAAAAGAATAAATGAACAACTTTTAAACATCGAGTCTATTTTTTCGTAAAACATCTTCTTCGTCTTTGGCTTCATTTGTTTCAACAACACGATCAGATGAAACACATACAATACAAAAATGAAAGAATGCAGCCACAATTATCATTGCACCACCAAGAGCAAATGCTACATCATATTTTTTAGTATAATCTTTAAGAAAACCTATTCGACAGAAAAATACGTAAAAAAAAACAACATCAAATCATTTTAATACAAACCAGCAGCAGGTGGACCAATAATTGATGTTACACCACGAAATAGAAAAAGAATACCAAAAGCTGTTGTATATCTATCAAGACCAACACAATCACATATAATACTTGGTAATAAGGACATATGAGGTGCTGAAAATCGTATATCAATTATATTATTCTATTTATAAAAGAAATTTTTCATTACCAATAGCAAATCCACATAGACCAGCATAGAGTGCACATGTTGTTAAATTATATGCATAAGCTGCTAAAACAGTCAGAATACCAGCTGTAAATAAAAGTACATTATGAACACATAATGCACTTAAATGTGGTATCATAGCAATAGGTCCACCAGCAAATCGACCAATTGTATTAAAAAGACCTAAATGAATATTTTTTATTATCAATAAATTGTTTATTTATTTATTCTACCAAAGACTGTTAATAAAAATGAAGCACTTGTTTGATCAACTTTTAAATCTTCAGTTGCAAATGAAACAAGACACATAATTGGTAAATAATAACCAAGCATAGAAAATATATTTCCAAGACAAATTAATAATAATTGTTTATTTTTTAAGATTGAAAAATCTGTCATTGCTGAAAGTATATCAGCAAATGCTTTAGCTGCTGAATCTTTTTTTTGTTTTTCATTTGTTAATGCTGGAATATTTGTTGCTGATGCCATATATGGATTGCTATTAGCTAATGATGTATGTGATACATGATGAAGTTGAGTTTTTGATCCAGTAAATAAAGCATCTTTTTTATAGAGTGGTCGTGTTGCATCTTCAGGATTAGAAACACCACGACGATGATGTGTACCACCAACTGATACATAACTTGATGTTGATACTGTACGAATACGTGGAGATTGATTAGGTGGACTTAATGATGTACCATTTACTGTTGCAACATTACTATAAGGTACAGCAGCCGAATTATTATTCTGAGTTGATGTATCAACTGATGATAATAATGGCTAGAAAAATGAATATTTAAATTGTTAGTATTTTTTCAATGAAGATATTAATACTAACTACATTTGTGCCAGCTGTTGCTTCTTGGGAAACTGAAGTTAATGGTTTCTGTTTAACAGGAGTTCTATAGCAATAAATAAAAATTATATTCTTACAAACATAAAAAAGCAAATTATTCGAATACTAACTGTAATTCAATTTCTCGTTTAATTGGTACTTTTTGAGGTTTTAATGGTTGCATAATGGCACCAAATGCAATGCATGTTAACATTATACAAGCAAATATAAGCATGCCCGTTTTCCAACCCAATTTTCCCATTACAAAATTAGCTAATGGACCAAAAGATAAAGCACCAATACCTGTACCTGCAGTTACCAAACCTACAAAAACCAACAAAATAAATATATATCCAAGTTAAAACAAAAAAAAACAAGAAAACTTTACCATTGGCTATAGCTCGTTTTTTATCAAAATAAAATGATACCATTACTACTGATCTAAAATTCAAGCAGAAGAAATTTAATCAAATTATTTTTTTATATAATATTATTTAACATACGGCAGATAAACCATGCCAAAAAAAACACCACCAAATATACCATAGATAATCATCATTGCCCAAACATTGGGTGACAAAGTAGACAATGCCATACAAGCTGCTGCACCAATACTTCCAACAATAATAATTGGTCGACAACCATATCTATTAGATAAACCTGATACAATTGGTCCTTTGAAAATAAATCATAAATTTCAAGAGATTAGACATCTAATGATCATAAATTATACTAACCCACTAATAAATATACACCACAAGGAACAGAACCAACCATAAGAATAAGCATATCCGAACATTTAAAATGTTCTTGAAGATGAAGTTTCATTGTACCAAATGCAAATAGAGTACCATCACATACAAGATTACATAACTGAATAGAAAATTGTTATAATGAATATCATCAATAAATTTTAAAGAAATCAAACGATACCATTGCTGCAATAGCAACAACCCAACCAAATCCTCCGTCAGGTGGTATTGCAACAAATTCATATTCTTCTTCTTGATAATTCTTATTGTCAATATTTTTCAATTGACCTTGTTCATCTTCTAATTTTTTATTTTGTGATACTTGTTTCGATGCCATACATCTAATATACTCGTATAACCTCACGAAAATTTAAATAAATAATATTTTTTTTCTCTATAGACACTCACACCTAGAAAGACAAAAAAAGTCGACAAGAAAAAAGAATTCAATCGATTGAACAATATACACTAATACAACAAAAAACAAACCATGCATGAGAAGAACAAAAAAAGAAAAGAATATCGAATATGTAAACGATATTGACATGATTCATTGAGCCGTATCCTACTTAGTCTTATCAAGGATACTGAACAATAAAAGAACAACGAGAATCGGTGAAGGACACAAAGGAGGTAATAATGTGACCTTCGTTCATTTTTCTTCTATTCTTGCATAATATCAATATAGATCTTTTTACCAGTTATAAAAGAAGAAAGAAGAACAAGAAAGAAGGTAAATAAATTGTGGTGAATATCAGGTGATATGAAAAGTATATAGCTTATCAGAGACAAAATGTACTCACATTCTTTTTGTTATTATCTTACAGTTTTATCATCACAAAACCACTGTCATATTATTGCTAGAAACGCGGAAGAAGAACGTCACAGATGGAACTATTTTCCATTTCATAGTAGTCTTACAATACTATTTTGTTTTTTTAGGACAATGTTTCAAATAAAAGAAGTAACATATGTTGACAAGGTTCGTAAAAAAAAAAAGAAATTTGTAAATAAATGGAAATATAGTTGACCTATTTTAAACAGTGAATAAGTGCTAGAATATCACAATTATGATTATGAAATGTTATTATAAGTCATCATCAAACTTACAATTGAAGAATAATAATTTTTATTACGAAATAAAATATTTTTGCTTCTCTATTTTTAACTTCCTAACGACAACAATCTTATATTCCCTCGTTTTTTTTTTCTTTGAATACAAAATTCACATCTTTTTTTCATTACTTGAGAGGTAAACGTGTTCGCATTTATGTAACATTGTTAAACATTCATTTTTCGATTGAATTATAAATATAAAAAAATACCTCGAAGTCAAGGTTGTTAGTTCATACTTACGTATGAGAGTCAATAATTTTAACACGAATTGCGTATCAGTCAACAAGATGATGATATAAAAGACCAATCACGTGCAATAAAATGACGAATGCGTAGTATATGAAAAGAATTTTCTATGTTTTGACTAAAGAAATAAATTGCCTATTCTGTTGATTTTTTTTTTCTTAACTTTCTATACAAACATCTAGACTTTCGTTTTATAATGTGTATTCCCTGATGTGCATGCATATATAAGAGAATGACGACTTTTCGCTAAGAAAATTCACAAACTAATAGTATACGATAAACGATAGATATTATTTCTTTCTGCTATTCTAGAAGAAGTCAATGAAGTATTGAACGTCTTCAAAAGAAAAGAAAATACTTATATAATACAGAAAGAGAAAAAAATGATGCAATGAAATAGCATAACAAGGTCATGGCCATTGGCTAATAACAATTGTCTAGAAAACTATAAAATATAAAAATAAATCTTATTTTCCATTGAATTCGATAAAATATTCATATTTAAGTTTCTTTCTTTTATGGAAAAATGCAACGAAATATATCATATTAAAAGTAGTATAGTACGATCACAAGTACAGACCTTGTTTCGTCTATACAGTTAATCCTTTCATTTCGAAATGTTTCTTTATTCGTAACTTACTTTTTCTTTTTTTTTTCTGTATACATAAAATACTCTGTCTGTTCTATTGTAAGTAACATTCTTTTCATGATTATTTGAATGCACAGTAAAAGAGAAAATTTATAACTCTAAAAAGCCCATTTGATTAATAAAAAAAAAGAAAGAAAAACAAAATGAAATTTGACTACTAGGTATTAGTATAAAATATATATCTATAAAGAAAGAAATACAATTTCAATTTCTAATTTACAATAGCCTTTGAAAAACGACATTGATATACAAAAGAAGTTTCTTCTTTCTTTCGATAAGTATTACACTAGAAGAGAAATATATCACAATGATGTTCTATTCAAATTACATATGTCTTAATTATAATTTTATTCAAAGCTTTTATAATATTTGTTATTATTCAAAGAGAAAACGATTTCTTTATTGAATTTCATAATATGACATATTTCATATGCAATCTAATCATGTAGTAATAAAGGAAATATATATTTTTTTTTTATAAATACATATACTCTACAACCTTAATTCTATTGACATATTAAGCAAAGCAGACACTAGAAAAAAAAAGCATATACTTATCATCTGTTTATAGTCAATAATCGATTTCTTCTCATATTAATATTTGTTGCAAATTTATTAACCGGATTAAAAATAGCACAAAGAAAAGGATTGTATGCATCGAATAATATATCAACAAAAAAAAACAACTACGACATTATTTTATTCTAATAGTGCACTTTTTTATGATACGAAATAGAATATTGTTTCGAGGCATTAATTTAATTTTTTTTTCACCTTACTTTCTTATCTAAATCAATAAAATAGACAAATGCTTTTAATGGGCTATATATAAATCGATGTGTAATGAATACCTTTGGTTAAAATTTCTTTTCTCTTCTTAGTTTAAAGATTGTTTATGTAAGGTACGATTTATTTTTAACAATGGAATACATGAAACATATTATGCTTTTATTCTTATCTTGTGTTTTTTTCCTGTATATGTTTTATGAATGTATACATTTTTTTTGATTCTACGTTGATTATCATTCGCTATTTGCAAGAAAACGAAAAAAAAAAATTTTTTTGTACGTTATACTCGTTTAAAAAAAACAGATATTATCATGAAAATAAAACATCGTCTTTAATATCTTCTTCTGTGGAATTGTTCTTATTTTTTTTAGCCAACATTTGTCTTTTATTTTCATCGTCATTGGCAATTGTTGAGGATTCAATATTAAAATAACGATTTATGAAAATAGTAGATGACGTATCTTCAGGCATTGGCGTTGTATTATCTTGGGCTACATAGAAAACAAAAAAAAGAAAGAAAAAGTGTTGAGGGATTTGAGAAAAAGAAGAAATGGGAAATAAACACTCTTACTTAATGTTGAATTACTTTCAACAATACTCGTCATTGCACTATTTGATGACATTTCAATATATTCTTGACTTTCCATTATCGTTGTTAATTCGTTTTCAGTTGTCATCATAGTTGTGAAGTGATGACTACTAGGTGCAAATGTTGTTTGTTGATTAGAAATTGTTGTTTGAATAGTTGTCGAAATTGTCGCATGTTCATTAACTATTATATTCGATGATGGATAAGTTTTCATTGATTGTGTATCGGAGTGTATATATTCATTTTGTTTTGTTCTCATTATCGATGATGACATATCAACATTTTGAGTTGTTAACGTATGTAAATTATTACTTGTCAAAATGACAGTTTTTTCTGGCCAATATCCATTTTCTGTTTGTTCATTGGTTATTGTTGTCAAATCTATATATTATTGATAGATATAATAATAGATAAAAAGAATAAAATAACAAAAATCTTAACCTTCTTGATTTACAAAAAGAAATCGACTATTATTTGATGTTACTATGAAATTTGTTTCAGCAGATCGTGACATAACAGCCATATGTGTATTACGAGAATCTAAGATATAAAAAAAAAAGATCTCTCTTTCTTTCTTATGTTAAACTTCGAACAATTTACTTTTCGAAAAAATAACACTTAATCTTATTACTTAGCTCTTAAAAATTTTTTATCATAATGTATACATGTATGAGATCATAAAATATTTTATATGCTAAAATTTTTATGATACTGATTATATAAAAAAAAATCTATGTCAAGTTCAAGTACTAAAAATATGATATGATTTAACACACACACACACACAAAAAGAATTTTTTAAAGTTCCTATTAACATTTAATAAATTATTTTGTCAAATAATAAAAATAAAACTTACGTGCTAGAACCAATGTAAGTACAATAATGCCAATAGCCACAAGACCTAGACTTAGCATCAAAATAGCAGCTTTACATGCACGTGATAATCGTTCTTTATGTGGTTTCTAAAAATATAAATTATATTATTCTTTTTTATTTTCTATTAAGAAAATATTTTCTTTTGTTTTTTTTTTCTTACCTTTGTAAATACTACATGATTTGTTGCTATAATATCATTCAAAGCTGGGTTGTTTAGATCAGTTTGATTTTCATTTTCAATACGAACTATTGATTTTTTATACATTTATATATGTATATACTTGAAATTTAGTTATAAGAAGAATAATCGTTGATGATCAGATTTGTGAGTTTGAAAAGAAATGAAATATGGTTGAAAATGAATGTGGGACGATATCCGATGTGTGTATTTGTATGTACACCATCGAATGCTAGGTAACCACATGTACAAAAGAAAAAGGAGAGAAAGAGACAGAGACAGAGAGGGAGAGGACATTTATGTAAGTTCTCTCTTGTGTCGTTGTTCCATAGGACACATACGTATGCATAATTGTTGCTCGCTCGATTGTTCAATCATTTTTGTCAGTTCCGTCAATCCATATACATACAGCGAGCTGTTAGCGGAATGAGAAAAAAATGAAGTGAATTAAGTGAAGTGCAGCACACCGATAAAGTCAAGATAACTGTATGAGTCCACTTGTTGACTATCGAGCGCAACGAACGACAGAACAATTTGTTATTCTACACATATATGTATATATATATATATGCATATTGGTTGTATATGAGAATTCATCATAGTTCTTCTCATAGAAGACACATATATAAATATATTGTATTGTTCAGATAGAGACACATAGAAAGATATGATGAACAACTCTACAATGTGAAGACTTACAATCACGTGAATAGCAATATGACCTCTATGCTATTGTGCAATATATAGATTTATCAAGAATATATGAAATTTCAAAATGAAATATGAAGAAATAACAGTGCAAAATCAATCATTATTGATCAATTTCAGTTTTTTCTTTTTTTCATTTTATCATATAAGACTTTCTTATGTAAATTTATGACAATTAATGGATCGTTTTTTTGTCATCATTTATTCTTTCTTATATTCATTGATGATAAAAACAAGACATACACTCACAGAGCATAGAAACAATATTGTTTGATCCCTTTTTAGTAGATATACTCATCGTTTATTTATGCGTTCTAAACTCGGGTGAATACTCATAAACATGTGAAATATGAATCGTCACGCATAGAACATTTACTATGCATACATCCATTAATTGAACAAAAACAAAAACGAACACATCGAATAACTTAAAACAAACCATACATTGGTTTGTATGATTATTATAAGCAGAAAAAAGAAGAGGACAAGAGATATTTTTCTACAAGCCAATACAATGTACATATATCTATATTATTTTTTGATTTCGAATAAAAAATATAGATAAATTTATATAGATTATTTCACTTTGTTCGATAATATTTAAATCATTCATTGATGCGTATATAATTCAGATATATGCTTTCATTGTGTATGTTTCTTTGTGTAAATAATGCAAGCTATTTTGTGTTTTTTTCGATGACAAACAATAGCAAAACTACTGCTGTGCTATTATTCTTTTTTTTTCCACTGCTTGAGACTTTTTATGTGTGAATGATTGCAAGTTACTTTAGTACGGCACAATCAATGAGACAATTTTGTTTTTTTTTCTACGCAAATCTTTAATAATAGACTTCTTTCTTCTTTTATCAATTGGATAATAGATATTGCCTTAGAATATTTCGACGAAGTCTTTCTCTTCTATTTTCTTCTTCTATATAGGTTTTTTTCATTTTATTTATTAGAACACTTCTCTCTTTCTCTCATATCCATCATCGATCGAATGTGATAGTAATAAGTAGAAATGGAAAGAATAGTGATGCTTCTATTCCATTGAGAGAACTAGCAAAACGTTTTATTGAGTAACTTACTCGATTATATTGACCTTTTATTAGAATATCCCTTCTTTATTATATGTCCTTCGGATATGTAAGTATTAAAAAAAAAACCAACAGAACAATAGTTTGCATTAAGAAAGTAAAAAAAAAAAAAAAGGAAAGATTTTTTTCTCTGACTCATACTAGATTATGCTGTAAGTATACTCAATATAATGATCATAATAATAGAAAGAGAAGGTAACAAAGAAAATTCATGCTGCTCTTTAGCATTGATAGTTTAATACTGTTAGAAAAAAAATATATACTATGAATGTAAACAAAAACAAAAACATTTGATCCTTTGTTTGCATGCGTGATTTATTTATGATTCGATCTTGTTTTGATCTAATAACAGAAACAACTTAAAATATACTTCGATCTTTTTCCGAGATGTTTTCGTGCATATAAAAATATGAAGAAGATAAACAGGTAGTCGTTAGTACTACAGTCAAGAGTGCCTAATCGGCATAATATAGCATATCTAGTTTCTGTTTTTTTTCTTTAGCTTCAGGGTATAATTCTTATGTATGAATGAATGTAGGTGGAAAAAAAGAATGTGAATATTGAAATCGTCATTTCTCGTTGTCTTTATGACGGATGATGATGATGATGGTAATAGTTTCTCGAACTCATTTTTTTTTCTTCTTCCTCTTTTCCATCTTCTCTTTTTTTTTTATCTACCAGAACAATACCAGTAAGCTCACATAGACATCATCACTATAGAGAGAGAGGGGGAGTAAAAGAAAATCATTATAGGATGCGCGCTTTTATCCACATCTACACGATTATAAGATTTTACCGACTTGCACGACTACACTACTCATTAACACCGTATAAAATAATCTTAAGAAAATATCTTTTATTATTTGTTTGTTCTAGTTCAAATTTTAATTTCTTTTATTTTATATTTATTTTCAAATTAAACAAGTAATAAGCGCAATGCTATCATGCTCACAGCATATTATGATCTATATATTGGCATTGGAATTGGTGCTGTATCTGTTATTGTTATAATTCTTATTGCAACAATAATTTTTTGTAAATGTTGCGTGCCATCATCAAGTCATCGTTATTTTGGTCGACCCACAAGACATTATGCAGCGATTAATAATATTGATGCTAAAACATATTTTAAACCACCACACCATCTCGTGAGTAATTCTTCATGATTATCTTTCTATTTATCAATCATGATATGCGTAGTTTCCGGTACTGATTGGTGCCACTTAAATAGGTTAAACATGCACACACAGTTAGAAAAAAAAAGAATTTTTCTTATTTAATTTCTTTTTTGTTCTATAAAAAAAAAAGACGAAAGATAATTGGAAAATTAGTTGTTTGTTTTTCTTTTCTAAAAATAGATTTAATTTTTTAAAAATAATTCCTTAGATTTATGCACCTATTGTTCATCGTATTCCACAACCACCGGTTATAACACAAGAAATATCATCAACACAATCAGCTCGAACATCAGTGGCATCAGGTGGTCGTTTATCAATTTTATCTGATAAATTATCTCGTTTATCAATTAGTTCAAATCAATCAGGTCGTCCATCTGTAGCATCAGATAGTGTACTTCTACAAAAAAAAGGTGATAATAGTCGTTTATCACATTCTTATGATGATACAAATACACAAGCAATAACAGCACATTATTCAGGAACTCGACGATCTTCTAAAGCACCACGTTTATCAACAGCTGTTATTGATACACAAGCCATTGGACTTAGTTCGCCACCAGGTGGAACAAATCAAAAAAATATTCGATTTCAATTATTTCCTCGTACATCAGATGTTGTTGAACAATCGATATCATCTATTGATCAATCATCAACAGTATCACCAGTACCAACAACAACAACAACAACAAGTATTGTTGAAGAACAAACACCAACATCATCAAAACGACAATTAACAAATACCGATTCGATACAAAATTCAAGTATAATTCGTCGTCAATCATTACTTCGATCACCATCATCAAAATATGCAATACCAAAATTTCCTATGGTTGGAAAACAAACAAGCAATATACCACGAACTTCAACTCCATTACCAGAACAAGGACTACTCTCACCACCTATTGTACCTCAACTATCATCTTATCTTTTCCCAAATAAGACACTACGTGGTGCATTAGGTGCTATTATGCCTGATCTCTATTTTGTTGGTACGACATGTACTGGTAATAGTACTAGTACAAATCCTGGAACTAATTTTGGTGAACGAATAAACGATGAATTATCAACTGTAGATGAAAATATGCATCGATTACATATTCGAATTATATATGATGATCATCGAAATGATCTTATTGTAAATGTAATTGAAGGTAAATTGAATAAAAAATTATTCAAATATATATATTTTTTTTATTAAAAATGATTTTCTAGCTCAATGTTTACCATGTGAACGTGTAGAATTTGCTAATCCTTATGTAAAACTTTATCTTCGACCACCAGTTGATCAAAAATTACGTCAAACATCAGTACAACCACAAACAATAAATCCAATATGGAATGAATATTTTAAATTTGGTGTTGCAAATGAAACTGTATTTAAAACAACAAAGACTTTATATTTTTATATTTATAGTTATGCACATTCAAGTCGACCTGAATGTGTTGGTGAAACACAAATACGTTTAACACCACAAACAATTCAAGGTCGAGATCTATGGTGTACGATTAATAAACAACGTGCAGTAAGAAAAATTATTTTTCTTTTCTTTTAATATTAAAAACAAATGTTTCTTTATATATATGTAGATAAAATTCAATTTTTTTTTCTTGACGTCAATTATGTTCTATATTTTTTTTTTGCATAGGAAGATGAATATCTTGGTGAATTACTAGTTTCATTAACATATTTACCTCAAGCTGAACGACTTAATGTTGGAATAATTGAAGCACGCAATCTAAAAGCTCTTTCAATGCATCTTGAAGCTGGTCGGTTACTGAATATATTTTTGTTTGCATATATAATCAATAACTATTTCCGGTTCGGTTTTTTTTTATTTTTAAGATCCAGTAGTGCGTTTAACATTACAATTAGGTCAAACTGATAAAGTAAAAAGAAAAAAAACCAGTGTCAAACGTAATACATTGAATCCAAAGTGGAATGAAGAATTATCATTTAATATACCAGGTGTTTCGTTAGCGGAATCATGTCTTGAAATAGGTGTTTATCATCATGATCTTATTGCACCGGATGAACCATTAGGTTTTTTACGTTTTGAAAATACAACACCTATTGGTAATGCAAATATAGCACAACATAGTGAAA